GTTTAAATATATACTTTTAGAATATACATTGTTTATACATTTGTGCCTTCTTCCCTCTGCCGTGCTTGACCTCGTAACAGAAGTAGTAACCATTGTTCACTACAGATGGTCAGCTGTGTTGGTCTGAAGCAGTAGAACAAATTTAGAGTCCAGTGGCACCTTTAAGACCAACAAAGGTTTATTCAAGGTATGAGCTTTTGTGTGCAAGGCACGCTTTTTCAAATACAATGGAATGGGAGGTAAGCTTCAAACTTATAGATGGGCTGAACTGCAAATTAACATGTAACATGATGAAGATTTTTAAGATATGTGAAAACAGAACTAAATAACAAGCTAAGGTTATAAGGTCAACAGTTGTAAAGCAATAAATATGTCAAAATAAGTCTGAGACTTCACTCCTCTCAGGTGTGGAGGTCACTTAACAGCATTTTTTCTTTCTTTTTTGAGGTGAGAGCAGTGTATGTCAGTCAAACATTCCAATATTCCTTGTATTACATTTAGTATTCTAATATACTGTTCTGAAAAAGAAATACACTGGCTTCTGGTTTAAGCGTCTTGCTGCTCAGACGCACCCTGTCTTGCTCCGATGGGGGTGCACTGAAATGCGGCGAACAGGAAGAGTCCGAGTGCATTTCGGAGTCTCCCGGGGTCTCTGCAGGAGACCCTCAGCCTGGGGAGCTGAGGAGAACCTCTTCCAAGGTGACGGCAAAGGAATTGAGGCACTCCTTTTCCCCGACAGGTCCCATCGCCGTTGAGCCATGATGGCGCCTAGAGACGGCTGCCGGAACAAGCGGACACGGTCAGAAGTTTGAAAAGGTTTCTAGAAGATCTCCAAGGCTTTAACCGTGAGTTAAGCAATGCTCAAGTGATACAAAGCGAATATATGAGCCTTGGTAGTAACTAGAAGCGCCTATTTGCAAAGCGTGGGAGGAGGGGAAACTCAAGACTACCCCCTTGAAAACTGAAAGCGGTTTTAAAATGGAAATAAAAGACTTTGAGCAAAAGTGAACGAAAGAGAATCTAAATGAGCTTGAAAGCTGCATATTGACTCAAAACAAAGTAACACTTTTCTCTTGTTTTGGAAAACTTACTTCTTGTTGATATATAGCTATGTCTGGGATATATATATATCTGGGAGAGGGCGGAAAGTGACGCTGGAGAAAAAAATAGCGACCGGAAATAACCAACCAACTACTCCCTCCCACAACCAGGTAGTATCTTCAGACATTTCTACACTGTTCGCAAACACATTGCGCCACCTAATGGAACAGATGATGAATCTCAACTCCAAACTAGATATAATGCAAAAGCAATTGACTCAAATGGACAAAAGGACCTCAGCAACGGAAAAAACCTTTAAAAAGATGGAAAAGCAGACTGAGAGCATTACTAAAAGAGTGGATGAAGCGGAAAAAGAAAGCTCCTCGGACAAATTGCAATTAATACAACTCCAGCTGGAAAGATCCATGTATGTTCTACGTTTCCAAGGGATTCCTGAAGAAAAAAATGAGGACTTAAAGGAACTTTTAGCAGAGGCCCTGGCCCCACTAATGGATTATAAACAAGAGGATTTACTGAAGGAGATGGACTTGGCTTACAGGACTTATCCAGATTTTATATTAAAAAAAAAACTCCCAGGGGAAACATGTTTGAAATTCACAAAACGATCCACCAGAGAACTGGTGCTAAAATCTACAATGGGGAAGTCTTTGAAAATCAAGAAACAGGAGATAAAAATCTTAAAAGATATCCACTTTGAAATCAGGAAACGGAGGAGGCTTTACAGAGAACTTACACTCTCTTTACAAAAGAAAGGAATACCCTATAGATGGGCTTTCCCTGAAGAACTGAGCTTTAAATATGAGGATAAAAGATTTAAAATTGACCCTGTTCCAAAAATGGAAACATTTATGGATCAATATTTTAATTCAAAGCCAAACAAGAAAGAAAAGAATCCAAAGCCAAATGAGGAGGAAGAAGAAGATGAAGAAGAATCCTACTCATAGGATTCAATAAGCACCAGTTCCAACTCTTCAGAGATGTCGAAATCTGAGAAAGGAGAAGCCGCTCCCAAACCCTGAAGAAACGCAAGAAGAAAAGACTCTAAAACTAAGACAATCGTTTATTGTGCAGTTTAAGCTAAAAAGCTATATAAAGTATCGTTTCACTCTTCTTTCTATAAACTCTTTATTTTATTTTTTAAAACTTTTCATATAACATTAATCATGTATCAATAGGTGACATAGATATATATTCATGTAACTAAGACCGATGTCACCCTGTTAGTCTGTACCCCTCCCCTATCCATTAGGGCTTGTAGTATTAGGGTATTAGTTTTCCTGCCCCATGCCCAGTAGTTCTTTGTGTATTAGTGATCCCTACCCTATATCCTGTAGATTAAGAGTTAGGGTTTAGTTATTCATTTCCCCAATCCCATAGACATTGAAAAACAATAAAATCTTATAAAAAAAGAAAAAAGAAAAAGAAATACACTAAAATACAGAGGATATATAGTCCCTCTGTATGAGAATACATATGTGAGGACTGAACGAGTTAGCATATGTAATGAGATAAGAAACCAATATCCCTGTTGAGTCCTGGGGAGGTTTTTGTTCCAAGTGTTGTAATAACTTCAGCAATTTCCTTTTTCATTCTGTTCCTGAAGCTCCTTTGTAATAAAACAGCTACCTTGAGATCACCCATTGAATGTCCTGGAAGGTTGAAGTGTTCTCCTACAAGTTTCTCAGTCTTGTGATTCCTGATGTCAGATTGGAGTCCATTTATTCTCTGGTGTAGGGTTTGTCCTGGTTGTCCTGTGTATTGTTGGCATTTAATGGCATATACAGTGTTAGAAGATGAGCAAGTGAATGAGCCTCTGATGGAGTAGTTGTTGTTGTTAGGTTCAGTAATTGTGTTGTCTGGGTGTATGTGGCAGCAAAGTTGGCATCTGGGTTTATTGCAAGCTCTGGTCCCAGTGTCCATGTTCAGTTTAGATGTTGCATAATTGTGGGGGAGGAGTTGTTTGAGACAAGGGGGCTGGCTGTGCACAAGAAAAGGTTTGCCCCCCAGTGCTAGCGAAAGAGCACTGTCATTATCCAGTAGAGGTTGTAAGTCGTTGATGATGCGTTGAACTAAGCTGAGAGCTGTATGTGACCACTAGTGGTGTTCTATTATTATCTCTTTTAGGCCTGTCTTCTAACAGGTTTTCTCTGGGTATCGTTTCTGGCTTTGTTAATCTGTTTCCTGACTTCATCAGGTGGATACTTTAGTTCCAAAAAGATGTGTTGTAGATCCCTCAGATGAGAATCTCTGTATGTAGAATTGGAGCAGATGCGGCTGTAGCATAGAGCCTGGCTGTATACAATGGATTGTTTGTTATGTTTAGGATGGTAGCTGCAGGCATGTAGGTATGTTTGTTGGTCAGTAGGTTTCTGGTATAAGGTGGTGTCTATGCGTCCATTGTGTACTTTTACAGTAGTGTCCAGAAAATGTATTTCTTGTATGGATTTGTTCATTATCAGGTTGATGGTGGGGTGAAAATCATTGATAATATGATCTTATGAATTACTTCCTTTAGTTAGAATGATCAGATATGGTTCTGCCAAAAGTCCATTATTCTTTGGTTTCCCCAGTGCTGTTCATGTTCACATTGCAGACAATTGGCATCAGGTAAGTACATCAGCTGTGAGAGTGTGGCTCACTAATGTTTGGCACATGGCACAAATGACCGACATGTGCATTGATTTCTGGGGATAAATGTGAAGTGTAAATTTCTGATCTGATTTATTACAGCAAGAGCCAGTAAAACAGTACAATTCTGATATAAGAAGGATTAAAACAGTAATAACATAGGATTAGTATAAATAAAATAATGTTAATAAGAGAATCATACAATTTTTTCAGCTAAAATAAGTTTACATTTCCTAATAGCTAAGCAACAAAATTTTGCCACAGCATAAGTCACTGAGCTTTGAACGTCTTCTAAGAGGAATGTACGAAGGACTTCTGGCCTAAAGTCAAGATAAGACTGCAGAGGGCTAAATCTAGACAGAAGGGGTAGTATAAGATGGTCTCGTTCCTCCTGATAGAATCTGCAGAACAGGAGGACATAAGTAATTGATTCCACCATATTAGCCATGCATGGGCATATACGTTCATGCATTGGAACTCGAGTGAATTTACCTTCCAGTACAGCAGAAGGGAGTGCCTCAAAATGGGCTCTGGAAAAGGCCCATCTATGGGGCTCATAGGTAATGTTAAATAAATAAGGGGCAGCAGTAAAATATAATCACAGATTTTTTTTCCATTTCTTAAAAAATTATGTTGGAAAGCATATTTTGTATTGCCTCCCCTTTTATTTTAAATATCAGACATCCAAACATTGTAATAAGCTAAGAGAGAAGGTGGCAAACTGTTCTAGTCTCCCATATCTCATTTTAAAAGTATGATGATAAACATGAACTGAATATTTCTATGTTGGCCTGATTTAGTTATATTAATTTTTAATTAATCAATTCATAAAGCAAAACTATTCCAATACAATTCTACTTCCAGTAACAATATCCATAGAATATACAACTATTCAAATTGTAGTTCCTTGTATTTTCACTATACATATCTATATATCTATCTATATATCTATATATATATATCTATATATATCTATATCTATATCTATCTATCTATCTATATATATATATATAGATATATATAGATATAGATATATATAGATATATATATATGTAGATATATATATATATAATATATCTATATATCTATATCTATATCTATATCTATATCTATATCTATATATATATATATTCATTCATTAAAGGAACTGTGTGCTTTTGTGTAATATAGAATACAAATCCAATGAGACTTTTTATGCTCCACAAACCCCACCTCAGTAACACTAGTTTACCTGATGTGGTGAATTTTGAAACACTTCTGTTTCTGAAGGAGAACTTGTAAATTAATTTGTAATCTCTTTTGATTTATAGATTCAAGATGCAGCAAGTCGGGGCATGAGGTTTGTTGGAATAATACCTCAGTACACTTCCCAAATGAACTCCAAGAGCAGCAGTGTTTTAATATCCAGCAGTAACAGCTCGAGAGAACTAAGAGGTGACAAAACTCCATCAGACTTTCCTGAGGATTGTGCGTTGTTGGATCATGAAAAAGATTGCACTAATGGAAGCAAAATCCCCACAGCAGCAAGTGAGGAAAATGTTGACCAGTGTATAAATCCGAGTGAAGATCTGGGAGGTGAAGGGCAGGTTACTGAACATCTCAGTTTAAGCTCTGCTGAAGAAAAGGGAGGGCAATTACAAGGTAAGAAAGCAAATGGTTCTCCAACGCTACAGCATATAAGTTACTACAGTGCTGCACTGGGACCTCATTGCTATGCTATTTGCTTCCTTAAATGTACTGCAGTAACACCTAATAAGAATAAACTCCTGAGCTATTTGCTATTTATATTATTGGTATAGAACTATAATATGTAGAAAGCTTTATGATCTTTTTCTTGTATCTACTAGGCTTGCCAAGTCCCCCCGGGGGGCGGGGAAAACCCCGCCTGAGAGGCCCGTTACCTGCCGGCGGCGGATCGGGCCCCAGGGGGAACCCCACTTCCAAAGCACGCGACGTGCCCGGCGTCAGCACGTCACCCGGAAGTGACGCAGTCACGTCGGGTGCGTTGGGGGCGGGGCTGCGGTCATCTGAGGGAAAACTCTATGATTTTCCTTCGGATGATTGTGGGCCCACCCCCAGCATGCCCGACATGGTTGCGTCACTTCCGGGTGACGTGGTTGCGGCGCGCGTGTGCAGAGCACGTGCGCACAGACTCCCAGAGCAGCACTGGAGTCCCCCGCTCTACATAGAGTGAGGACTTGGCAACCCTAGTATCAGCTCTGGAGGTTTTAATAGAAAGACTTATATCCAAAGACTGAAGCCGTCAACAGACAAGACAGATCTTTCTACAAGCCTGAAAATAGCCCCAGGTTTGCAGAAAAATCTGACATGACCTCCTCAAATAATAGAAGCAGCACCCACAGCTTTAAGATATGAAGTGGCTGCTGTGGGGTTCCTCGGGAACCATAATGGTATTTCTAGCCTCTGAGCCTGGGTTTCCTTTCACTAAAAAGCAGGGGCAGGGGCCACTTTTCAGGCCTGTTTTGGCCCTTGAGGGAGGATCCATTGGGGCCAGGCCTGGCAGCAGCCATGGATGACTTGATACCACAGGGATTGTATGACTCACCCAGGCCTGGTTGTTTGCTATTCTTCAACAGTAGCCACCTCACAAAAGCCAGTGTGGTATAATAAATATAGCTGAAGCTGAGTAGGTGGGGGGCAGTTAAAAGATAGATCGGTTGGTGGGTAGGAAGGAGGGAAGGAAGCAGGGAAAGATGAGGATATGTGGGTTACCATGGGGATAGAGAGAGTGTGGGGACCGTGATATATGAGAAATGAGGTACTTCCCACAAGTCCTTGCAAGTTCCCCACTGCTCAACTGGGTCCAGGCTGGCAGCCAGTGCTGCGCACCCGGGCCATAGTTTTCCTGAGTAGAGGGTCTCAGGAGGGAAAGCTGAAGATGGAGGGAGGAGATAAAGGTGGATCGGCTTGTGGGTGAGAAGAAGAGAATCAAGCAAGAAAAGGAGAGAGATTATGGGGGCTTTCAGGGAAAGGAAAGAAGAAATTGTGGGGGAGGGGAAAATAAGATAACCCCTGCAAATCCTTGTGGGTCCCTCACTCATAAGGTTGCCAACCTCCAGGTGGGGTCCGAAGATGTCCTGGAATTACAACTCATCTCCAAACAACAGAGATCAGTTCTTCTGGAGAAACTGGCTGCTTTGGAGAGTGAACTGTACAGCATAGGGTTGCCAACTCTTGGTTGGGAAATTCCTAGATATTTTGGGGGGTGGAGCCTGGGGAGGGGAGGGAGCTCAGGTGGGTATATTCCCATAGACTCCACCCTCCAAAGGAGCCATTTTCTCCTGGGGAACTGATTTCTTTTGTCTAGAAATCAGTTGTAATTCTGGGAGATCTCCAGGCCCTACCTGGGGTTTGGCAGCCTTAATTATACCTTGCTAAGACCCCTCCCCTCACCAAACCCTGCCACCCCTAGAATCCACCACCAAGTCTCCAGAACTTTCCCAACTCAGAGTTGGCAACCCTCAGCCACATTTTTCTCGATTTATGACACTGAATTTTTAATCTGTTGGACTATGCAGACTTTCATGGAATGCTGACAGGAATTATTTTATATTAACAGGAAAGGTACATACCAAAGGAAGGTTAAAATTGATCCACTTCCTTTTTTTTACCCTGCTGCATTTCTGTGCTGCTTCTGCACCCTCCCTACAGAGCTTGATCATCTCCAAACTTCAGATTGTACTTCACTTCCATTTACCGCTTGCTGATAGAAAGTGGTGTTAAGTCCCAGAGGATGTTGCAGCTCCCAGATAGAAGAAACACAGTTCACAGCTTTGGGAGATGTATTAACACCAGTGCAGGTTAATGCACACTTTAATTTTAGACCTGTGCTAGAGCTCTTGTTTGAAAAGCTGGTGCTTATGGACGTTTGATTATTTATTTAATTTACTTTTAGCATTTATACTCCACTCTCTCAGCCAAATTGGCTCTTGAAGCAGCTTACAGTAAAATCAGTGTTTAAAAATACAATAAACAAGACCAATATATTAAAAACTAACCAGAAAAAATAAAATGTTTTTAAAAATCCTAAAATATAGCAAATCTGACAGAATCAGCTGTGTAATGAAGACAGGGACATAAAATACCTTGAAGCCAGCAAATCAATAGCATTAAAAATACAGCATCTTTTAAACCATTGGGTCAATAACATTTTAAAAAGGCAGCATAAATATATCTAGTTATAAAATCAAAAAGTAGGTATACAGCAGGGCGGAATAATGCTCAGATCATTATTGGTGAGGATGCCAGCTAGTTCACCCCTAATAGTTCATTCTGTACATCACAAACTGCCAGGGTTTGAAGGACCACATGACTAATTCTGCATGGCTAAAGGGGATTTTTGGCTGGTGTTTCTTAAACAGTAGCTCAACATGCTATACATTAAGCTGCCTTAGATCATGAGAGAACTTCCAAAACACTGACTGCGGAATGGTATTGGGAGTGCAAAGAGGTGTGAGAACAGAGAGCCAGTGTGTTCTACTGGTTACCGTTTCGGACTAAGATCATATTCAGATCTTCGTTCTGCAGTGAAGTTTGCTGGATAATCTTGGGCCAGTCACTCTTTCTCAGCCAGTTTACCTCCTAGGGTGGATACAAGGGTAAAATGTAGAAGGGATACACTACCCTGGACTTCTTGTAGGGTTTGAAATTATATTTTGCTGGCATTTATTGAGTTAGTTTTGAATTTTTAAAATTGATTTATGTTATTGTACTTGCAGTCATTTGCTTATTTCTGTTTTACTAAGTTGTGAACCATCCTGAGCATACACATTTTCTAAATAAATAAAAGTCAGAAATACACACACACACACACACACCGGCCTGGATCCTGACCAATATTTCTTAAGTGTTGTTCATTGGTTTAATTTGGCCTGATAGCATAATATATCTAAGAGCAAGATGTTAGAGGGGAGGGAAAGGAGGAAATCCTTTACTACTACTAGGTCAAAGTTCTTTTAATTCTCCTGTTCTGAATTCAAGCATGATATTCTGTAATCATCTGCACATCTTTGTTTTGAGTGAATTAACTTTTACATGCAAGTGTCTCATGAGATACTCATTGTTCAGCATAAAATATTGCCACATTTAACAAGCGACATAATTGTTGTGAGGTCTGCCATCTAGGGGTTTAATAATCTCTCCTTGTAACCCAAGAGAATGGATTTTCACAACCATCTCTCCTTGTAACCCAAGAGAATGGATTTTCACAACCATCTCAGTAGATTAATTTTCTTACTGAATAAAATTAATATTTTGAATGTAACCCCATCTAACTGGCTTTTCGTGTTATTCAGCTATTCTCTGTTTATAACTCCCTGTCATGCCATTCTTTTCATTGGATTTGTGTGGAAGTCATATAGGTTCTATGCTTTACAGACCTTTCATTCTATCCTGCAAAAGAGAGATCTACTTTGGCCCCGGTCACACAGAGCATTAGCCACGCTACAGGGATGGAAGATAGGTGGATTTTCTGGGCGCGATCTCACCGCCACATCTGGGAAACATAGAGCTCCCGTGGCTCACCCAAGGCTTCCCGCCGAAGACGCGTGGTAAAAAACTAGTACCTCGGAGGTACTAGTTTCCGGAAACTGCGGGGCAAGGGCGGGCATCTGATCGCGTTTCCGGTGGTAGTTCCGGTGCCTGTCCATGTCCCCTAGCAAAAAGGTTCCCCCCTCCAAGTCTCCACGGATGCGCACAAGCACCCAACGGAGCATGCGCACACTTTCGTTTTTAAAAAAACACACACAACTGAGCAGCTTGCTAAGACTTGAGTTGTGCAGAGAAGAGGAGAGCAGCCAGAAGAAACGCTACACAGAGCGCACGGCTTGAGGCGAGAGAGAAACAGATAGGGGGAAAGGGGGCAAGGCAGAAGAGAAAGCGGCTGAGGCGAAGCCCAGAAGGGGGGGGCTGCAGCGGCAGAGTAAGAAGTCTGCTTGGGGAAGGGGGGGCAAGCCGGGAAGAGGTGACTAGACACACGGGCGGCGCGAGGGTGTGTGTGTGCACAGAGGCTGCGGGATCGGAGCCCCAGTGCCCAGGGAGCCGAAGAGCCAGGAGGGCGGCACTCACCGTGGCCTCGAAGACAGGCGCTGGAGGGGAACCCTCAGCACGCGGCCCCCGCTTCTTTGCTGCGCCGTGTGATAGGCACCTCCACCTAACCACGGGACCTCCATGGAAGGTCTGATCGTGCAACCGCGCATTATTTTGCCCCGGGGCAAACAGCCATGCTCCCCCCCCCCCTTTCCGGCCCGTGTGACCGGGGCCTTTGAAGATCTTTTGTGTTATACCTCTTACAATAGTTTGTCTTACTGCTTCCAGATAGATATAACAAAGGGCTTTTATGGGGTGATAACACTAGTGTGTATAATAGTACATTGTGACTATGCATGTTTACTTCCCCTATATAAGTACATGATAAAACATCTTGCCTGTAATATGCACTTGTGTTTGGTTCTTGCAGTACTTTTCCTTCTTACCCTCTTTGAGGAGGTGGGATTAGGAGAGTTTGGAGGGCAGGGCCATGAGGGGGCATAAAACTATAGAGCTTTCAGCAATTCCTAAAGCTACCCAATGTCACTTCTGTGTTGTTACTGGAAATGATGTCATGGTGCACACACTGGCAA